TTTCACGTGAACTGAAATTTTCTGTAACCAGAATATTGTGTTTGCAGTAATGGATAGTTTGATGCAGTGGATACTTACCACCAGAATACATAGAGAGAAACATAATCTCAAGTATGTTCGACATATTTAGCTTGGGTGTTGTAATCATAAAGATAATGACAGGACGTATAGGCTACATCAGAAGTGCCGAAATGCCTCCCCAGGAGTTTGTTGAACTTGTAAGAAAAGACAATTTCTATCATTTTCAACAAATTGTCTTGAGTTGCTTGAATTTTTTTATAATAATAATAAAGTTTTCCTAACATGATACCATTATTCATGTTCTAAATTGATAGGCACACGAAAACTGGAGGATTAGACTTCAGAAAACACCGAGACACTTGTTTAATTCATATTCAAAACAAGTGAAGAGATGCATGGAAATAGCTTTAAGATGTGTGGAAGCCGACCGATACAAAAGGCCAAATATAGGGGACATTGTCAAACAACTGAATGAGACAGAGACAGAGACAGACACAGAGACAGATCAGGTGTGTTCAGTTTTAGTATTCATTTCATTGTTTTTTGTTTTTCGTTTCGAGTACTACCATATACAAAAGGTATCTTTTGGATTTCTGTTTGTTGCATCCGGTGAGGAATGACAAACAAACTGAACAAACAGTTGTTCACCTGTCATGGATTTTCACTAGGGCACTTTCTGCAGCCCAATATAACATTTGACAGCAGGGTTCTTCTGTTTGTGATTTGAGATAACAAGTGGGATGCAAATGCATCATACATCTTGCTTGAAGCCGCGTAGTGGCTGCTGTTTATTAAACAGGAAACTTATTCTCGCGACGTGTTAGTATGCCATGTCTCGAGCTATAACAATCTGGGTAGAATTTTCAAATTTCAACACAGGACAGTCCAGCAGTGAAATCATTGGACTGTGCGGAGAAACTTCCTGCGATGTCAGTGGGGTGATCAGGGCAGACCCACCCTATTGGCATGGTGGAGTGGCACCCCCAGCTAGCAGCTTTCAGTTACATCCAACCCTCTTCCTCTTTCATGGCCCTTGCTTACCATGCGACAAAAGCCATACCAGAGGCAGAGAATAATGCATGAGATAAACTCTGTACAGCTGTAGGCTGAAGGGGTATGAGCTATAGTGGGTCAGCAAAGGGAGATGAATATTTGGGGGGGGGGGGCGTAAGGGCCAGCACAGCAGTCGATTGCTTAAAGCAGTTCACCAGTCACAGCAGCCCCAAAAGTGTCTTGTGCTTTGTGCAGCTACGCAAACAACAGATCCTCTCTTGTTTTCAACTCATTCGCCTGATGTTGTGTCCTCCGAGGCTCCGAGGGAGAGAAAAGAGACTATTTCAATCATCTTATATTAAAGGTTCCAACAACGGAACCTTCACCAACAATGACCACTCCCATGCAAAATTAAATTAAAAAAAACAATTTTTATTGTTCAATAGAAGGTTATTAATAATTTAGATTCTAAACATATGATTCCACATGTAAATACTATAGTATCTATATGTGTCTAGCTTTGGTATTGGCAAAGTTTGTCATTCGCCACAACTAAAATTTGGACTGGGTTTGCCATTGCCAGGAAACGAGTACAACTAAGTTGACGGGATATGTGGGGAAGTATCAATTTGGGCGAACTATAAGCGAAGGCAAATTCACAAAGGTCAAGATCGCATTGGACACTGAGACGGGCGGACTTGTAGCCATCAAGATCCTAGATAAAAACGAGGTCCTCAAGCACAAGATGGTTGAACAGGTCACACTCAATCACACAATTTGAATTATTGCTGCATTTTTTAATGATTGGGATATTTCACATCTTGTAGAATTGTGGTCCCTTCAGATTCTGCTCGCCCTCCCCCTTAGTGTCTTTACTTTTTGAATGGCCCATGAGCTTTGCAACTTTGTTCAGCGCTGAATTAACTGTGTCTGGTGGAATTATATGTTGTTGATGAAAAAACTGCATGGTCAAATGCAGGTTAAGCGGGAAATTTCGACGACGAAGTTGATTATGCATCCGAATGTTGTTCAGATATATGAGGTACCTTTCTTGATCTTCTACTTGATCTTACAAAGCTGTTGATCAGAAAAGATCCAAGTCAGAAATTCCCAACATAATCATTTAGCGTGCCTATTTTCATTTCACTATGAGCAGGCAATCGCTGATCTTTGACAAATCAATGTTTTCATTAATCTTTAGGTGATGGGAAGTAAAACAAAGATCTACATTGTGTTTGCTATGAATTTATTTGACACAATTGTAAGTGATATGCACATTGTCCATTCTAGTTTATGTAGTTTCTGCTGTACCCTCCTCCGTTAGTCTCCATGTCCAGAGAGTTCACTTATGACTGACATTTCTTTGATGGTAAACTTTTTGTGCTCATCATCATAAAGGGTCAACATGGTCGAATGAGGGAAGTTGAGGCAGGGAGGTACTTTCAACAATTAATCGGTGCTGTTGATTATTGTCATAGCAAGGGTGTGTACCACCGGAATCTAAAAGTGAGCTCATTTCTCTGTGTCCCTTTTTCTGTAATTAAGAGATGCATTCAAAATCTAAACTATGATACTTGCAGCCTGAAAATCTACTGCTTGATAGATATGGGAACCTGAAGGTCTCTGACTTTGGGCTTAGCGCACTATCTCAGCAAATCAAGGTAATGACTTCTTGATATATGTCTCTGAGTTACCAATGAATACTTGAGTAATGACAGGGTAAAATTAACACTTTTTGAGTAATGACAGGGTGTTTGAAAATTTCCAGACCCCTCAACATATTTTAAAGAATGTTTCTTGTCTCTTTTATATTGTCCAGGATGATGGACTGCTGCACACAACTTGTGGGACTCCATACTATGTTGCACCGGAGGTAATGCTAGAAAATGTACAAACTGATTCAATACTGGATGTTACGGCAATCACCATTTCATTAGGAATACAATGACCTAAATATTTCTACCAACTTCATAACAGGTCCTTGCAGGCCAAGGCTATGACGGTGCAATGGCTGATGTGTGGTCATGTGGAGTTATCCTGTTTGTTATGCTTGCAGGGTATATGCCATTTGAGGACTCTAATCTTATGATGTTGATTAAGAAAGTGAGCGTTGCGTGGCTTTCAGATCATTTGCTGCAGTGTTGCTTATTTATGCTTATTTAACTTCTCACTTCTATTCCTCGCAGATTTCAAATGCAGAATTTGCATGTCCACCGTGGATATCTTTTCCTGCCAAGAGGTTGTTAAGAAGAATTCTTGATCCAAATTCAATGACGGTATGCCAGGGCACAAAAGCTGTTTGAAAGAAGATACTAGTGAAACAATGTTAACATAATGGAATACAACAGATCCCAACCAATCACTTCCTTGGACACTATCCTAACCCATCATGCAATATACTCCCTAGTAGGCTGATAGATCACCTGATATTGGTGATATCAATCATCCAAATGATATTCCCATTGATCCAGCGGTTGTAGGGCAACCCAGATTGACACAAATTTGGATCCTAATGCATTTATTAGTACGCAAATAACAACTATTTTTGTGGTAAATATATTAAATTGGTAAAGAAAAGAAAAAAACTGTACAATGAGTTAAGGCCATAAGTGGCCTAAAAGAGAGAAAGGGAAAACAAAAGAAAGTTAGCGAAAGGAGTTTTATACGAGCTAGGAAAGGGGCTCTTTTCGTTCTTGAATCACAGAACCACTACTGGATGTAATCAAGAAAAGAACCTTCAGTTTTCTTACAAAAGTACATACAATGTGCATGTTTCTAAATGAAACCCTTTGTGTGAGGAAAGAATTGCAACTCATTCAAGGAGGAACAATTGAAACTGGATTGTGGTTCATCTTCATCATGATGATGTGCTGAGTCTGGTTTCAAAATGAATGAATCATAATTCTATGTTGCTTTATAGAATTAGACTCATGTTTTGGTAAACCATGGCAGAGAATAACTATCCCAGAAATATTAGAGGATGAGTGGTTAAAAAAGGTCTGCAGGAGCCCAGATTTGGACGAAGACTATGACACTACATTGGATGGTGTGGATCCTGTCTTTAATGATTCAGAAGTGAGTAAATGGTGCATTTCTATGTTCTTTCTCATGCATAGTGTTGTAGATTTTACTTGCCAACTAGTTTTATTATTATTATTATTTGACATCATTCAGGAGCACCACATGACAGAAAAGGAAGAACCAGTAGCTCTGAATGCATTCGAACTGATTTCAATGTTAGCAGGCCTAAACCTTGAAAGCTTATTTGACTCAGAGCAGGTACACGATGTTACTGATTCCTCTATAATAATCTTGAACTTTGAAATTGCAATGTGTGATAGCTTAAATCATCATAATTTTCAAAGGACATTGCATGATGACATGCACTTGAATTTCCTTTAAATTCTGCCAGTGAAAGTCAATTGCGCAATTATAAAGGATGTTGGAACCTAATACTAGTTCTATATGCCTATATGATTAGAATGTTAGCTCCAAAAATTTTACAACTTTTCACAATTTAGGATTTTCCATCAACATATTGTCACCATGCTATGATTTTGCAGCCTTACTCTTCTGTACTTTCAATTTACATTTTTAGTCACTGTATCTGCAGGATTTCAAAGAAGAAACAAGGTTTATATCAAAATGTCCACCAAAGGAAATTGTAACCAAGATTGAGGAAGCTGCAAAACATCTAGGATTTGATGTTCAGAGGGAAAATTACAAGGTACCTACCCATAACTCTATAGTAACTGATTCTTCTAACATTTTCTTGAGGGCACGACTTCTCGATACGAATACAGACTTTAAATGTTCTGCATGCTAAAGGTTTTCTTTTTTATTGTGTGACTAGTTGAGGCTCAAAAAGAGAAAGGCAAGGAGAACGGGAAACCTCATTGTTGTTGCTGAAGTAATGCTTAATTGTTTTTTTTTCTTAACTGCAATACCTCTGCAAACTCTTCATAACATATTTATATATTCATCAGATACTGCAAGTTGCACCTTCTCTTCACACGGTAGAAGTCCGAAAAGCAGAAGGTGTCACTCTGGAATTTCATAAGGTAACTATCAGGCACGCTGAAGATGCGGATTAATCCCTATCCATATGCATCTCTAGTCACCAGTAGTTTTGGATTCACTAAGTTACTGCAGTTCATAATTTCTCTTGTTCTTTCAACTCTCTGGACTTGTGTAAGCTGCAAATTTCTGCAGTTCTACAAGGACCTTTCCAATACCTTAGAGGACGTCATCTGGAAATCCAATGATCTTCAAACACAACATGCTTCTTAGCAGAACCTCGGAGAGGAAGAATGGCAAACTATTTTGATTCTGTAGTCTGTACCGTTCACTGCATTCTGCATGTAATGGTGGATGGCCCAGGAAATTGCGCTGGTACTCCACCATTGTTGTAAATGCTGCATTTTGAGAGATTCAGTTGAAGGGAAGTTCATTCAGTAGGTTTTGAGTATGTGAGTTTTGTATATCCGTATATGCCTTTGAGTCATGTGGAAACACTATGATCAGTATCTGCGAAATGAAGCCCAGAATGTTCTTGCTATCTTGCCCCCATTTTTCAGCACTGAACAGAAGGGCTTATTCTGCCTGCATTTTCACACACACACACACACACACACACAAAAAGAGTATTGAATTGGGAACTCATTGGTATTCGGCCATCATTTCAGTAGTTTTTTTTTCAATTTACACTGCGAATCATGCAGATTCTTGCTTTGCCTGCTGTTAGTTACATTTCTTTCTCCTGACAGCTAGAAACTAAGGTGGCAGAGTGAGTTGAGTTTCAGAGGATTGTACAGGAGGGGCAGAGTCTCTTGGAGTGAGATGATTCGCTCCCATGGTCTTCCAGCTCCTGGTTCCTTCGTCTGCACAAGAACCCAAATTTCAGACTCCAGGTACAAATCGTGCATGGACAATTCTGATACAGAGAAAAAGAGGGATCTTTTTGTGTGTGTGTGTGTGTGTGTGTGTGATCAGGAATCAGGATGAGTGGATGACGACAGACGGCGACTCACTTGGCGAGCATGACCTTGGCGAACTCGGTGTAGTTGATCTGGCCGTCGCCGTCGGCGTCGGCCTCGCGGAGCATCTCGGCGAGCTCCTCGTCGGAGAGTTTCTCGCCGAGGTTCTGGAGGACATGGCGGAGCTCGTCGCGGGAGATGAAGCCGTTCTGGTCCTGGTCGAAGACGCGGAAGGCCTCCCGGAGCTCGTCCTCGTCGGCGCCGTTGGCCTCCCGCATCTGGCGCGCCAGCAGGGTGAGGAACTCCTGGAAGTCGATGGCGCCGCTGCCGTCCGCGTCCACCTCGTCCACCATCCCCTGCAGCTCCTCCTCCGTCGGGCTCTGCCCCAGCGACCGCATCACCGTGCCCAGCTCCTTGGTCGTGATCGTCCCTGCATCCATTCATTCGTCATTCGTGCCGCCTCCACTGTCAAACGCTGTTGCAATTGCAATCCATCGACCAAGAACGCAGTGGGATGCGATGCGAGCAAGAACGAATAATGCGATGCAGAGATTAGAAGAAGAGGAAATGGCCGGCTGGCCGGCCGTACCGTCGCCATCTTTGTCGAAGAGGCTGAACGCCTCCCGGAACTCCTCGATCTGTTTCTTGGTCAGCGTCTGCTCCACCTCCTCCATCCTCCCTCCTCGCTCTCGACTCTTCAATCCACCGCTGATCGATCGATCTCTTTAGTTCCGTTGGAGACGCCTCATGATCGATGGACGACGAATTGTTCGTCCTCAATCACAGATTCACAGGCAACTCTGGAGTCTGGATGGAGACGAATTTGCGTTGATCGAGCAAGGGCCAAGGAGAAAGTCCTCGCTCTCGACTCTTCAATCCACCGCTTATCGATCGATCTCTTTAGTTCCGTTGGAGACGCCTCATGGTCGATGGACGACGAATTGTTCGTCCTCAATCACAGATTCACAGGCAACTCTGGAGTCTGGATGGAGACGAATTTGCGTTGATCGAGGAAGGGCCAAGGAGAAATTCCTCTGTTGTTCGTGCTCTTGCGTTTGGCTAAAATAAGGAGTCTGGGCGAATTATATACTGCTCACAAATAGCAAACCTTTTTTTGTTTTATTTTATTACCGAGAAAAACTTTTGGAACTTTGATTCTGGGTAACTATATGAGTTCAAAAACATTAGTACTTTTAAGATGTTCTATATTTTTAGTATGAGCTCTGAACTGTATTGTACACAGCAATTTTGTTATCTTACGATTTTATATGGTATTTTATAAGTGTATTAATGTAGTAACTTCTATAAAATGTTTAGTTTGGAAACTTAATAATACCATGAATGCATGAGATTAAATAAATGCATTTTATTACAAAGTAGTGGTTAAAGTTGCACCCTAATAAAATTATGTAAAAAGATAAGTATTCTTCAGTTAACGCACGCAAATAGTAAAACATAGGCGTTTTTTTTTTGGCCTATATAGAGCTGATCAACGCTTCAGGGAGGGCAAGTAAACTGCTCATTTTACTGCTTGTCACAGATACGCGCTACTTTATGCAAAATCTTACAATATAACAAATGTTCTCAACCTTTCTTTTCGAGCACGTTATTTTTCCCACCACAGAACAAACTATTCTTTCGCCTGTTTTCAATCTCTCTTATGTCATGTATATTTTTTTTCTCTCAAACATGCCGTGTAGCACGTATTTCATTAAGAGAAAGTAGACAACACCAAACCAAATAACAAACGGCTCAACACTAGGTAACCAAAGGTTTCCTAGGCGAGGAGAAGACACAAGCAAAAAAAAAAAACTAAAAGAAGACTACAACGAAGCCCGGCTACTACCACGAGAGGACTAAAAAGCAACGACGGGTTGAAAGCGATAGCGAAGCTAGTAAACTAAGCCATGGACAACGATCGAGCGACCTAGGCGGGCACCCAGAGGTAGGGCTAAACCTCAAGTTCCACCCTCCACCGGTGGATGCCCTCAATTGCGGAGCCGGCGGGAAGAGCATCCGATTGCCTCACGCTTGGACTCGAGAGAGGCCCGTCGAATAGGGCCATGTACTCATCGAAATCGCCTCCGCGATCGGCTGCGGCGCTTTGATCCTGGCTGGCGGACTCCCAATTTTGCCATCAACACGTTACGGGCTTGCACGATCGGGTTGAAGGCTCACATCTACTCTGGGCGCTAGCCTCCCGCTACGACGTGGGCTGTGAGGATGTGCTTTCAACCGCACGACTCCTCCTAGGAACACGGAGGCGTGGAGGTTCGACCAAGATCGGCTCCCGTGATGGCGAGCAAAGCTGCGATTGCGATCTTGCGCGAGTGCACTTGGTGACACCGGAGCAGGCGCCATAGCCGTCGCCGTGCCCACGGGCGACAAGGCCACAGGCTAGGAAGGAACTCTGGACGCGACCCCGCGTGGCCCGAGTGCTCCTCGTCCGAAGAAGGGGCCGAGCAAGATGGGCGGCCGATCTCCACATTGGACGCGATCGGCCCCCAACCGGAGGAGCATCCTCCAGATGTGAAGGCGCGGCCAAGTCAGGCGATCCACAAAGCTGCGCCGGAAGAGGCGACCTTCCTGCCGGGACCCCCACACCCGAAGGCTTCCCCATGACGACCAACCCCTCGGAGTGCATGGGATCCCATCGCTCATTGGCACGGCCTGCATATCGAAGCGATGGGTCGAAGAAGTCGTCGAAGAAACGAGGCGGAGGAGTCCACGGCAACCTCGCTGCGGCGCAGAATCACGGATGGGGCGTGGGCGCCGGCGAAGCGAATCGGCGAGCAACCCAGGTGGCCTTGGCGTAACGCCGCCAAGAAAAGCGAGCGATCCACGACCAAGCTCGCCACCGGCGCACATACACCCAACAACGGCGAGAATGGCAAGTGGGCGGTGGCGACATCGTTGGACCTCGGCCGCTTGCGATCACGCAGCGCCTGTGCCCAAACGGGCAGCGCGCAGTGGCGGCGGGAGCCGGCAGTGGCCACCCGGTGAGTCCGGGATAGGCGGTTGAAGCACCTACCCAAAACCGGGAAGATCCGGGGTCGACCCCGTGGGACGCCCACCAAGCCCGCCTACCACCGCCCCCCCGACGCAGCACCGGCTGGTTGGCCACGGAAGAATTGGAGAACGAGGCGGTGCACCGCCACCCATCTCGCATCAAGCGGAGATACCTCGCTCGCATGGCTGAGCATGATTGAGCCGGGATCCATGAGCCCACGGAGGGCTGGCCGCACCGCCCGCGTGGCGGGGTCACGATCACCCGTCGGGCCGTGGCAGCCCTCCGCCCGCTGCGTCGGTGATGGCGTCGGCGCCCGCTGCGGCGGCGTCGCGGCACCGGGTGGCAGCCGCGGCCGCCATCGGTGGGTGGCTCGCTTCGAGGAGGAGAGCGGCGCCAGCGAAGTAAAACTTCGCGGAGCCGACGGGGAAGAGCGCTTCGAGGTCGGAGTCGCGGAGAAACCATCCTCCCAACGCATAGCGTTTGGACCTACCGGCGGAGAGGTGGCGGGGAAGAACGGCGGCGTCGGGGGAGAGAGTGGAGCGACCCATTGAGCGTCGTTGGCAGTTGGAGCGACCCTTCGAGCGAGCAGGCGACGCCAGCTCGGGGACGAACACAGCGTCGGTGGTTGCCGCGGATCCGCCGTCATTGGGCCCACCCGTCACGGGATCCGAGCTCCACCATCCCGGCGGCCAGGCGGGCGTGCAGCGTTGCCACCGCAGCAGCGGCAACAGCGGCACCGCACCGCCCGCACCAGCGGCAGCGGCTTCGGCCGAAGCGGCCGCCACTTACACGCCGGAGAGGATCGCCACCCCAAGGTTCCATGACAGCCCGTGGTCCGCCTCTCTCGAGACACCGTCATGCCGAGCCAGCGCCGCCGTAGCCGTCGGACATGCAAAGCAGGGGTGAAGGTAGAAAGCGACATCAGCGCAGCGGCAGGCTCGGCCACCATGCAGGTCGTCGCCTCCACAACCCGTCGGCCAGCGGCAACTACATCACCGCCATCCGAGCATAGCTCCGCAGGTGCTGGATCTCAACAACGCTGCCTTTGGAGGCGACAAGCGAACCACCAGCAGGTAGATCCGGCGCAGAGAATGACGGATGCGATCTTGGCTTGGGCGATTTGGGCGAGGATGTAGCGGATCTAGGGATTTCGCGGATGGGGGAGGCAAGGTTCTGGTGTTCGGGAGGGAGCGGGTCAAGGTCAGGGTCGTCATCCATATTTTTTAGCGGACTTTATGTCATGTATATTCATTATTTAATAGAAAGAATATGTGCCTACCTGATATATTTAATTTTCTAATCTACAAAGTGAGCACATACTCAGCAGCATTTACGAATGGACGGCTGCCAAATTTTCCAAAACGAACAAAGCCAGCATCAGACCGCCGACCAGGCTGTTGTCGTCCTTCCCGTCTATGCCTATTGCCTACCAGTGAGCCAAAACCACAGCCTACACATACTCTGCTACACCTGCAGCAATTCTGATTCTTACTTTCACAAACATTGCTACGGATTAGCATCAACCAAATCTAACCATGCAGCGTGACAACCAATCAAATTTGCCCTTCTAGTCTCAAAACACCAACACCACCTAAGCTGCTAGCTTGAAGCAACACCACAATATCAGGTGACATATGTTAGGCCAACATCCACCTGAATTATCAGGGGAAGAAACGTAGGGCATTCGATAGAGGAGAGGACTGCCATCCAAGATACTACCAAAAGCATGTGCCTATTATATCTTATCATCTATATATAGCATAGAATCTCAGACAATCAAGATTTCTCATCATGCCCGAACACGTCAGCATTGCACTAAACTGGGATGCAATATACACACTACTGCAAGTGTAGTAAACCTAGATGCCAGGACTTGTAAGTTGAAACTTGCTACCAGAAGCACCTATGGCTCAGAAGATGCCATGGTTGTATCAATGTTGCCAGGAATGGTTGTATCAATGCCGTTGATATGATCATCGAGGGTATCTGTGGATGCCAGTGCAGTTCTTTCAAATCTCTCTGGCCCTGCTCATACAAACAGATGTCATAAGTTCGCCTTTTTACATGTAACGAAAAAACATGCAAGACAAATCATTTGGCCACAAAAGATGAAGCCAAACGTAAGTAACATCCAATACCATCATAATAAAATGAGACTATGAGAGGATAATTTAATTGTACTACCTGATGAACAAATAGAAGTTGTGGGGGCAAATCTTCTGGTGCATTTGCCTGCTCTTTCATCTTAGCTCTGAACTCAGCCTCCTCTTCTGCATCTCTTTCCAATGAAAGATCCCATATTCTAAACCCAAACAACTCATGAGATGTGTCAGCAAATACTAAGCGAAAAAATCAAGTAATCTAGTGCATCTAAAACATGAATGACAAGGAAAGGATGGAAAGTTACGTTAGTTGATTATCTTCAGAAGTTACAGCTAATGATGAAGCTTCATGTGGACTCCACTCTATTGATGTAATTGCTTTCTTGTGCTACTCAAAATGTGCTACCAACGAGTCCTCCTACCAGTACCATAAAAGGGCACAGGGGAAAAAGATTCACAACTATTAAGCAATACTTGAAAAGGTACGAAACGAAAATTACTATCAGCAGAAGATAAATTGGGCAAAAGCATAGCTTGTCTATTTTTTTTAACCATGAGTCGGTTTAAAAACTTCCTAATACCTTCAGAACACCAAGTCATGTGTAATTTTGTTACCGCATATTACACAGAGGCAAACAGAAGCCCAACTTAAAACAAATTATACAAACAAAAATTAAGAAAAATGACATTGAGCTGGCTACAACTGACACAAGCACAAAAAGTTGTGGTTTATCAAGAAGGAAATACCTGAATTGATCTATGATCGCGAACTGAGAAACTGCCATCATCACACCCTGAGGCTATCATGCAGCTAGCAAGCCTGATTTGCGAGTCAAAACGTGAGTAAAATATTATGCGCCAGTAAGTTATAGTACTCACAAAATCAATAGATTTTTTGACTTGATATACATTCACATCAGCTTTATGAGCCTTGATAGATATACAAGGTTTCTTCCCTGTACGTATGTCCCATATTGATATCGTTCCGTCAACTGAACAAGAGGCAAAATTGTTGGCTTCCGTGGGACTCCACTGCAAAGATATAGATGTAATAGTTCAGACAATCACATTCAAAGAAACATGTGAATAGATATATGACACAACATTCAGACATGCCTGTAAATCTTCAACACTGGCCGAGTGTCCAACAAATGGATTCGCATCTACGTTCCAGTTAGATGGAGTCGGCTCCCACAGGTGAATGCTTTTATTGCAGTCACCTGCATAAAAATGAATTAATATAATCCATGAAAATGTGTACGCACCAAATTAAATCGTGCCAATGATTTATGAGCACGGAATAGAGGGAAAGACATGACGCGGCATTAAGTTCTCAACTATGGAAACATTTTAAACATCACAGCAGATGACAAATATTGTGAAATGTGCAAGATCATATATGTCATGTGGGGCCGACAGTATAGCCGCCGGCCTCGAACACAAGGTGCAGCCGGGGCAGTCCCCAAGGGGACGCATGGCCTGGAAGAACCCAAGGAGGTTTAGGCGGCTGGAGGGGCTGCAGTCTCTAAGGCAATTAAGTAGAAGTTGAAGAGATTAAGGAATTAATTAGCCAGCTAGCAGTTAATGGCTGGCGCAAGTAGCAATGGAGCAAAGCTCCTATATGTACCCCTGCACTCGTTGAAGGAAGTAAGAAAGAAGTTATTCCCTAATCTTCCCCTTTCTCTGCTATTCTTAATCTCACCTCCTGTTGGGGTAGTCAGGCAAAAACCCTGGCACCTCTATTACCTGGTTCGAGTTATGAGCTGAGAAGTCAGGGGCCTCCAACTCTAGGCGCCCAGGTCCTTGACAATATACACACCAGAAACAAGCCTTCCGATAACAAGTGGACTCCAATCAATTGCATATCCCTCAGCTTTATGGCCACTAAATACTTTCACAGGTGCCTGTCTGTGGATTATGTCATCTTCTTTGGGTGCAGGTGTCGCTGACTCTGCAAAAGAATTAAGGACGGAGCTCAAGTCCCACACCTGCATATTTATCAACCAGGAACAGTTTAGCAATTCACAAAGAACTAGTCAGCATGGTGCGCTCTGTTTCTGGACATATATTTTCAAAAAGGAATATAACACATATAGTATCCATTCTGTTACTAGGCGGATATAAAAGAAAATTGCTGTACAGGTTTAGGAAGGCAACGATCACAACAGATGAAAAGTGATGCGAGGTATGAACTGAATTACCTGAACATGACCAGTATCTCCCCACGTAGCACATATATGTGGTTTTTGAGTCATTGAGCGTATCCGATTTACACACCCGGCATGAGCCACCTTTCTTAGCTGGTACATTCAAATATAGCAACAGAACAAACCACAAGCTAGTGAGCTACTACATATAAACGTAGAATGCTGGATACTTGTTTTTCTTGTGGCAAAGCCTAGAGTAACTATCTTGATTTAAAAAGAACATACATGTAGGATGGGCTTTGTATCCTCATTAATTTCTTCATCTTCTTCATCGCTGCTGCTCTCACTATCCACATCAGCGTCACCATCAATGGCTGAAGATGGTATAGGTTCCCGTTTCTTCCCGCTTATGTTGGAAAGCTTGAAAATGCCAATATAATTTCTTGAAGCCTTCTCAGCCTGTCCAGCGTAAGTCCAATCATGAAATAAGAGTTTAGCTCAATCCTAGAGTAAGAGTTTATTATCATGAAATGATTATTTATAACTCCACCAGTCTTATGCCATTATTTAAGCTGAAATGTCCAACATAAGCTCAATCCATTCAAGAAAGTGTTGAACTTATTATTATCTTACTATTTTAACCATCCAAATTTGCTCAATGACAATCCATCACAACTTCTAGCAACAATCAATATATAAGTGCAAGCAATCGTCACAATAAGTTTCTTGCATGGTTTTTCTGAGAATAGAATCAGCAACAGGCACACATTTTCAATCGAAAACAACTTAACAGGAACAACAGTACAAAATCAATATTCCTGTAATTCAAAAACTAAAATTAATATTCCTGTTTTTGAAGGTGTGAAGAGTATTGCAACCTGCGTTCCTGCAACACCATAGAATGTGTGGGGGAACTCTGATCGGACAAGTCCAAGTTGATCGCGCACAACATCAAAACTGTGACGGAAGGTTATTAACTGAGATTGGACAATGCATTGGACAGAAGTTAGGATACAGAGGTAATGAATTGCGCAGACAAATTTTACCTCAAGCAAGACCAGTCAATGCCGAACCCTCGGATATAATTGTAAGCCTCAGGATCAAAGTGGAGCTCCTCTCCGTCTTCCAGTGCATCGACACCCGGTTGCCAGACCTAAAACGAAGCACTATAAAGGTAAGAGGTAACTAACTAACAAATTGGAAAAAGGAACAAATTAGAGATAATTTTTTAAGCAGAAAAGGCAATTCAATTAGGCGTAACTTTATAAGGAAGCACTAGTTCAGATGCGTGACATGAAGGATTAGGGGGGGGGGGGGGGGATGAAGAATAGGGTCAGTGATTTCTCCCTCACCTTAGCCGGACCAGAGGCAACCGCAGGATTAGACGATGATGAGGAAGCTGCAGCTTTGTTCAGCCCGGAAACAGAGCAGAATTAGGTGGGAACTGGAGCACAAAACATACTGAATACCACGAAGAAGAGCTCATCGATCAGAGCTCCAGAAGTGCATGGCATCTGGTTTACGGTACCCTGGCCTTCTTGAATTCGGCCTTCCTCTTGATTTTGCGACCCATCAATGAGGTGTATGTATCAGAAGGACAGGGAGCCGCAGTGGTGGCCGGTGGCCGGTGGCTGGCGGCCGGCCAGATTTGCGACTGCTAGGGAGAGGGGAGGGGGAGGTCGTAGGCGGAGGTGGAAGGTCGACTCGGACCGTCGCCGTCGGAGCGCGAGGCTGTATTGGCGGGCGGCGGCCTCTTATTCCCTCAGCTAGGATTTTGTGGGGTGGGCCGTGGGGTGTGGACACTGGTCTCAAAATCATTCCAGCCCAGTAAGATTTTTCCTTTTGGAACATTTGACAGCCCATGAAGTTTAAAAGGTTGATCTATTTCCTCAAAAATCGAAGGGGAAAAATAAGGAATTGGGGAAAAGATATGAGTTGCTCTCCACCTAAGTCTTGTGCCACCATCACCAGTTCACCACATACAAAATTCCCCAACTAGAGAACGTTTCTCTCTCTATAGGATTTCATTCATCATTCAAAGCATATCACACAGCACGGGCAAAATTTACATACTAGCTACCAGATTACAGTGGATAGAAATTCAAAAAAAAAGAGCAAAGGGGACCAAAATAATAGATATATCCACATAACAAATGTCTCTCTAGTAGCTACCCGTTGCCTTTCTATAGAGGGAGAAGAGTCGTGATTGCCGATCACCATGATTCCTGAGTTTAGATAAAAATGAGATCCTGATTCCTTTCGAGAAATCTCTTTGACGCTTGAGTAGCTCATCTGGTAGCTCTTCCCCATGATTCCTTTGATCCATTACTGGACTATTACAGCCTCAACCCAGATAAAGCATCTGAAAGATCAGAATCAGACATGTAGGAAGCATTAAGATCCCTATTGCCATAAGCATTCATCTTTTCTATGTTTGACATGAAGTGATTCTGGATATTTCTGTGATATTCAGCATTGTCTGGATCCATACCATATCTATCCAAAGCGAACCCATGTCAAATGCAGAGTAGTTTGCCATGGCGCCACCGCTATGAACTCTGCTCGGTCCAAACTGTCGTTCATCCAAGTCTCATTTACCATTAATTAAACAGGAGGCCAGGTGGTCCAACAGATAAAGATGCAGAATTAACTTCAGCTCCTTGAGTGCCCTCGCTCCTCCCAGTGGAAGGATTTCCCACTTGCTGCAATATCATTCATCTAAGTAAGTATGCCAAAATTTGCAAATGAGTACAACTATTCAAACAAAATTAAAGAGTAGTAGTTACATTATATGGGGACAATAGCAGATGGTGAGTTTCCTGAGAGACGAAAACCATGACTGCTGCTCAACTTGGAAAAGAAAGTAACTCTGGAAAAGAGTGAACTCTCTCAGCCCTTGATCATCATTACCCTTAGATCGGAGGTTAATTCCTTCCTATAAGTACCAAGACATTTTTCCAATCTTGGCATCTCAATCAAGATCAACTCTTCCAAGGAAGGAATTGAAATTTCTGTCGACTTCCACATCCTGATCAGTTTTAGCTTCCTAAGGAACGGAAGCATTTGGAGACGAAGAATTTGCCATTCCCTGCACTTCTCTAAATGAAGTATCCGCAGCATCTTAACTGACACATTACTGGCAAGCCAGGTTGGTAAGTTAGCACCGTTATACCCAGATATATGTAGACTTTTGAGGTTCTCATGAGGCTGAAGACCCTCAAGCACATCTTCTGTTTTCCCAGCTATAAAAGTGTCAAGGTCCATGCTGAAATCATTCCATGATAAGGACAATTCTTGCAGATACTCTTTGTCTATCAGCGAAGGGCGGGCCTGGTGCAAGCGGTAGAGTCTTACCGCCTGTGACCGGAAGGTCCCGGGTTCGAGTCGCGGTCTCCTCGCATTGCACGGGCGAGAATAAGGCTGACCACTGACACCCTTCCCCTGACCCCGCACAGAGCGGGAGCTCTCTGCACTGGATACGCCCTTTACTCTTTGTCTATCAGCCTAGCTCCGCTGGCCTGTTCTTTGGTCTTCACATTTTCAAGTTGAGAAATTTCAAGAGTTACAAGCTCGCTCATGGATCGAAGTTGTATTATCTCAAATTCACCAACAATTCGAACCTTGAATTTTATTCCCTGAAGAGAGGTCAGCTTCCCTACACCAGTGATTTCTGAGTGCACTTTCTCATGGGCAGCAATATTCCGTAAATTAATGAGATTATTCATACTTGTAGGTACAGAAATATTGCATCCAATGCCGGCGTTGAAGAATTGAAGGTGATAAAATTTTGTCAAAGCTTGAGGAAGAACAATATTCTTCTTAAGGTCTACATTTGTCCAAATATTTGTGTTGGAGAACACACCGATAAATTCAAGATAGCGAAGATGATATGGATTTAACAAATCAGATGTAGTGCTGACATCATTATGCGTCACATAAATCCTCGCGACTCGTAAACTTTTTGACTTAATGTATAAAGTGTGTAGGAACCTTAATAAATGTATGCTGCTTCTGCCAAAAACCATCAAGGTCCTCAATTTTTCCAAGGACCCAATATTCTCCAGTATGTTCTGAAACTTGTCACAAGGGATACTGTAATGTCCATCTTTCTCATAAGCTGTGGTTATGATTGACAAATGGCAAACACTTGGTTGAATGGCCCTAGAGTTGGATCCATTGATAGTAGCACACTCATTTAAGGAAACCTTCTGAGCCAATTCATGCATTAGGTCATGCATGACATAATCTGAGTCAACCTTTTGGAAAAAGCCAAAATCCACTAAGTTATCCAAATATTGCATCCCTATTTCCTCCAATCTCTTGGTAGGGTCTTGGCACTGCACAAAATTGTGTGATATCCAAGCACGGACCAAATTTTCGCCATTAAATCTATAGTCCTCTGGAAACAGAGAGCAGTATGAGAAACACTGCTGCAGGTGCACCGGTAAAAAATCATAACTGAGCTTCAAGATAGGTAAAATATCATCAGTATCTTCTTGAAGAGATTTCCATTTGTTTTGAACTGTCCTCCAGTGCTCGTAGGTAACATTTCTGTTCAAAAGTGCACCGACACTAAGTGCAGCTAGTGGAATACCCTTTAGTGCTTTAGCAATCTGCTGCCCAATGCACTGCAAACTAGGATGGCCCTCATGGCTTTCATTACCAAATGCACATGCCTTGAAGAACAACCAAAATTGGTTTTCATCCAGACCATTCACTGATACTGAATCCATTGTTTCTATCATTCTTGCAACTGATGGTCTTCGAGTAGTTGCTAAAATCATGCAGCCAGGTACATGATTGTGCTTTAGTGGGGTTAACAGGCTAAACCATCCTCTCTTGTCCTTTTCCTCCCACATGTCATCAAATACAAGCAAGAATCTTTTGTTTTCAAGATTCTTCAGAAGGATATTCTGCAGCATGTTGAAGTTGGTGATTTTTTCGAACTGTTGTCTATCTGTACATACATGCTCCAAGATCTCCCGTGTTAGTCTCATTGCGTCGAAGTTAGTGGACACGCAAACCCACATTCGCAGATCAAAATGCTCTTTGATTCTTTGATCACCGTAAACAAATCTTGCAAGTGTAGCCTTCCCAACACCACCAATGCCAACTATAGGCAGAACATGTAGATCACTAGATTTTCCATTTATTAACAACTCTATTATCTTATCCCTCTCTACATCCCTTCCGTATACCTTGTCTTCAATTGGAACAGAAGTTGTCAGGCGTGTGTTTCTGGCCACATACTGACCCTGGTTTGCCAATGGAACGGGGCGTGAGATCTCTAGCTGAAGAACCTTCCGCACAGAATTGCCAAGTTTGTGTAAACGATTCACTATCCCCTTGATGCTCTCAGAAATGTCAAGTTTAATCTCATGAGGCAGCATGGTGCTATGAGTTGGCTCCTCCTCTCTCTTCCTTTTTCTGTCACGTGAGCACCAACTAACAACTAGTTGAAAAGAGGATGGAGTGCAAGAAGACACAGAGCTCTCCTCAAGATCTGTACAACCTTCCCCTGCATAAGCAAACCCACAGGTGTTATGCGAACAAGCTAAAGAAAGACACTTAAACAAAAGCAGCCATTAATAACTAACACAAGTCAAAACATGTGAAAAAGAAGATCCAATTAACCAAGTAGGCAAGGCAAGAAACATGCAAGCAGAGTACAGGACAAAAGCGGTGATCTGAGTGAGGTACCTCGTTCGATCTGTTGTTGAAGCCGATAGTAGTCGAGCTTGTCCATCACATCTTCGGCATCATAAAGCAGCTCTTTGAGGTCATCCAGGGACCGGGCCAGTGGCTTGTTGTCAATCGTTCTTCCCTCGGCTGCAGCAAGCACCATCTGCGCGTTCCTCATCTCAGACTCAAGGTTCTCCACGTCTTCGGCGAGCCCCGCATCCTGCGCCCACGCCTCCATCTGTCGAGTGAAGAAGCTCCCAAGGATGCTTTCCACCAGCCATCCGGTCGCAGCATCCACCACAGTTTCCACCACCCCCATCCGATCGTCTCCCAGTGAACCTATATGGCGATGGGCACAAGGGAGGACATATGAATTCAGAGCGTTGAACTGGTATGGTATGTCATTTTGTGGCTGTGCAGTTTACAAAAGGATAGAGAGGTCAGGTCTGGGAGTCAAGTCTTGCGTCCACAGCTGCAGAACTAATGAACTGGCATCTTCTCTTGTGTGGCTAAGCGGGACACTCGCCTGTGTGCGTTTCGGCCGGGGAGGGGGCACCCAGGGGACGTCGACGAGCCACAGCCGCAGCCCTGGTTTCCTCCGTTGATTCATTCACCCCAGGCCCAGACACAGGCAGCGAGGTTTCCTAGAGTAGACGGTCGCCGGCGGGGCGGGAGGGTGCGGGTGCGGGTGCTGGTGCGGCCGCGCGGCGCCCGGGCACCGGCGACCGGCAACATGGGCGGGTTGGTGGGCTTGACATGTGAGGCCCACCACGTCATCGTCGAAAAACGGGCAGATGGGTGGAGTCGCGGGCCTGGGAAAATTCCACGCAGGCAGGCCGTGGCCCGACGGCAGGGAGCCGCTGTGCTTGCTAAAATAATATTTCCTAGAGATCAATTAGCATATGAATGACATCATTAGCAGTTGCTAATGGTAGAGGGGCATGTCGCTTTGGGAGACCCTATGGACATGTATATATACTAGGATCATGACTTTGAAAATTACATAATCGGTCACCAAAATAGTATTAGCAAACTTCCATATATTAAATACTAGAAAATATGCCTGGCATTGCAAACAATTTGTTGCACGGTACTCGTGACTGATAATTAGCAAGTTATTTTTGTTGGATTTAATTGGGTTTGACGTAACCTTAAATCAAATAAACTCCAAAGCTCGTAATAAATGTTAGTGCAATAAAGCATTAATCCCGTGTGGGAAATTGACGCAGCTTAAATGGTGCACCAGTTGTGAATTTAAAGAAAGGTGAAAAACAAACCACGTCCCTGCATGAGCACCACGACGCAAAAAGGCTTGGCCATGACATGAGTGGTGCTACGACGCAAATAGGCTTGGTTGCCTAGGCCATGACATAAGTGGTGTGGCGCTAACGAATGTTTTGTAGCTCCAAACTTAAATTGAAAAGGTTAGGACTTAGGAGTGAGAGATGGACAGATATTGAGAGAGTGAGAGAGAGTGTGAGTAGAAGAAATATATTTTCACTCTTTAATATTAATATTAGATGCATACATAGATTACTAATTAGAGGTGAGTGTCTATGTTAACCCTCACGAAATAGGTTAGAGCTGATCATGAGATTTCTTTGCAGTCACAAGCCAAATTGATGAAGTTATGCAGTCACAAGTCAATATTAATATCAACTTGAGTCTAACATTATTGATCCCTAGTAAATCTCACTTCAAACTCTAGTGTTATTTCTTGAGCACTATGGCCTAGGCTTAAACGTCCGCATATACCATTCAAAGTGCAATCTACAACCTAAAAATTATTATTTTGAATAAAAATGAAAATGAAAGAGAGATGCAAGAAACACAAATTTCAACTTATCGTGAGAATTTAAAAATGTAGCAACTAACAAGATAAAAAAAGTTAAAAGTCAAAATCTAGACATCACGAGACATATTCCGAATCAAGTACCAAGATAAGGTTTAAGTATATGCATTGAAGACAGGGTGCCACTTAGCTAGCGGGAGAAAATTATAAATACAGATAAAAAAATCTAGAGTAATTAATATATTTTTCACAACCTGACATAGATTACAAGGTATCTACTCTCTTCGTCCCAAATTATAAGTCGTGTTAGATTTTCTATAAATACATAGCTTTTGCTATACACCAAGATACACACTTCTTTTTTCGCAAACGTGCCTGAGCATGTATTTCATCAAGAAGAGAGGAGCTTACCTGCACCCAGAAGTGGCTCAGGCAGCACAAGATTCAAAAGTCAAGCAACTAAAAAAACCGACCCATGCCTAAGCTAAGGCTAAAAAGAGAACTATCCATCTAAAATGTGAAAAAGTCAAGACGACCTGAGGGAGTATATATTTATTGTGTTAAAATGGACAGAGGGAGACAATAGTGGCAGATACACGAAGAAGGATGAAACAATGCAGCTTCTTCTTCTTCTTCTTGAAGATTGTGTACAAACAAACATCGTCTGCCCTTAGTTAACAGGAATCATACCTGCTGGCCTAAATATGCTCATGGGACGATTAAATAATGGCACAACAGAAACAAACATAAGTAGCAGCAGATGGGGCTGCAATCAAATTCATGTGCACCGGTAAAAAATCATAACTGAGCTTCAAGATAGGTAAAACATCATCAGTATCTTCTTGAAGAGATTTCCATTTGTTTTGAACTGTCCTCCAGTGCTCGTAGGTAACATTTCTGTTCAAAAGTGCACCGACACTCCATGCAGCTAGTGGACAACCCATTAGTGCTATAACAATCTGCTGCCCAATGGACTGCAGACTAGGATGACCCTCATGGCTGTCATTACCAAATGCACATGCCTTGAAGAAAAGCCAAAATTCTTTTTCATCCAGACCTTTAACTGATATCGGATCCATCGTTCCTATCATTTTTGCAACTGATGGTCTTCGGGTTGTTGCTAAAATCATGCAACCAGGTACATGATTGTGTTTTAGTGGAGCTAAAATGCTAAACCATCCTCTCCTGTCCTTTTCCTCCCACATGTCATCAAATACAAGCAGGAATCTTTTGTTTTCAAGGTTCTTCAGAAGGAATCTTTTGTTTTCAAGATTCTTCAGAAGGGCCCATGCTTTCATCATTCCAGTGAAGAAACTGCCAAGGACGCTTTGCACCAGCCATCCGATTGCAGCATCCACTACAGCAGTTCCCACCACATCCATCGCCTCCCAGTGCAGCTAAGGCAGCAGGCACGAGGGAGGAGAAACCAAACAGACCGATTCAGAGGAATGAACTGGTTGCTTGCTAGGTTGGTATGTTTCGTTGAAATGTCTGTGTGCAGTATACAGGGCAATAGAGGGTAAAGGCCGGGGAGTCAAGTCTTGGGTCCACACCTGCACTAATGATTCGGTTCTGCAAAGCAGTTTAGTGGAAGCTGACTGAGGCCTTCTTGCGTTGCTTCCTTCTTCTTTTCCAGATAAGCATGTATGTAGTAGTCTGCACCTAGCAACACGTATTTGCCATGAAGCAACAAAGGGAAAAACTACTGCTAGTCCGGGCATCACAAAGCTAGACTTTGTCCCAAAGCGAAGTATTCCGTTATGACACCGATGGAGCAACAGGCAAGACAGTGGAGTAAAAAAAAAATTCCTTTTTGCAGCAGATGTAAACAGGGAACAGTACCTGAAGCTGAAGAACGGGCATCCCACCGCCGCTGCACGAAAGCAGGTGGGAGGGGGTGAGCGTGAGACGAAGGGAGGCACTTCACGCAGCAGCCGCCGCCGCTCACCTGGCATTGCCGGGCCCGCTCGTGCGGCTGCTGCGTGGGATCTGGCCAGGGAGGGGGCGCCAGCGGGTGACGACGACGAGCTAACGCCTCGTTCCCCCCCCTTCCGTTGATTAATTCATCCTAAGACCCAGCCGGTGAGGTCTCCTTGAATGGACGACGACGGGGCGGAATGCGGCGGCGACCGCCGCCGGCCGGCGACATGGACGCGTAACGCTTTGGTGGTACAAGACGGCGGTGAGGGGTTTGCGCTGAAATCTAGCAGGCTCCCAGTGAAGTTAACTGGGCTGATGAATGAAGAGGCAAAAATATCGATTTGGGCTGAAATGTAGCAGGGATCAATGAAGCTAATTGGGTTTCGTATAGAAGAAAATTAAGTTCGAGTTTGCTTCTGCAACACCAACACAATGTGGAAAGAACTTTGCCATCCTCGCTTTCAGCTTGATAAAGACCTTAGTTCGTCGTATATTATAAATCTTTAAAAAATTGATTGAAACTACTTAAAGATGTATGTACCTGTGACTAGGTGACTAACGATAGTTACTAACCTCCATCGATCTCTAAATATTTTGGCACCTTGGACTAACACATGGTTACGACTTACGAAGGTGATGTGCTTTCTAGAATAAATCACTAAAATACCAATATAAAGTTATTATTTTTAAGTATTTCTAGGACATTCCTGTAGTGTTGTACCGCTAATTGGGTAATATGGAATGAAAAAGTATGTTTAGGTTAGTCTCAGTGGGATCACTATTTCCAAGACTCTCATGCGTTGAAACAATGTATAAAAATTTCATCTCCATCCCATAAAATTTTTATCATGTCTCTTATCATCAATATTATGCCACATTAGGTTATTTAATGCTCATGAAACTCTTATTTATTTTATTTATTGAGACTGGCCTTATCTCTGTGACTCAACTGTCTTATCCGGCTCTTCCTCTTCCCTTCGCTGTCCTACTCGTACAGAGAATCAATGGCCCTAAAAAAGTGGACCACCATGGTTAGCCAGGTTAGACAATGGATGTTGTCGGGCTCAATCATGGTAGGATAACCAGAAAAGAGATTAGTTTTACATTAAAAAAAGAAAAGAAAAGAAAAGAAGAGAAGAGAGAGTTGTTCGGAGATGCAGCTGGGAAAACCGCGATGGCATTAGCAGCCAGCAGCCAACCACAGGCCTGTAACTATGAGCGTTGATGGCGTACGCAGTGGGCAGTGGTGACTCCACAGTGATTTATTTGCACGTAGTTTACATGCCTTCTTGATGCAATAGTTTTGTTTCTTGTCTGGATTGTTGTACTAACCATACCTCAGAATTCAATAACCACCTTTCACAATGCAAGGCGATTGCATCAGGCTGCAACACTGTCTTAAACTTTTCATTCAAGCCACGTAATGGCTTACTGAACCGAACAGACAGCAGCAGCAAAAAGAAAATTGTGCAAGTGCAAATAAACAGCAGCAATAGAAATAGTCGCAGCCCATAGATAAATAAAGGATAGAATAATGCACATCCTAGAATTGAATGAAGATTGTGTACAAACATACATCGTCTGTCCTTGTAGTTAACAGCAATAATATATAGTTTTCCAAATGTGCCGGCACGGGCACTGCTCGCCCTGGCACGGCACGCTAGGCACGGCTGATGAACCGTGCCGTGCCGAGTCGTGCCACCGTGCCCGACTCCAGGCCCAGGCACGGCACTATCATTCCTGAAGCGTGCTGTGTCGTGCCATGCCGACTCCAGGCTCAGCGTGCACGTGCCGGCCCAGGCACTAAACGGGCAAAACCCCTCAATGAATTCAGCACAGCAATTCAAAGAGATCTAAAATGACTAAGTTAACAAAAGATCAAAAGATCAGAACACAGCACAGCAAAGAACACAAACTTTTGAAACTAAAACTAATTTAAGTAGGAGCTGCGCAATGGTTGCCTTATTAAAAACTTGTTTAGGTAAAACTCATCCTTGTGAGAAACCCTAAACAGGAAAAGAGTACAGCCAGCTCCTAAATTAATTGTTCATTACATCCATCACCACAAGTCCAAGTCTCCGCCATCCACTTTACTCTGCAGCAGAACGATCGAAGAAGCGAGCGGCGAAAAACGCAGCGGCGTCCTCGCGGACATCATCGTCCTCATCATCTCCGGCCATCCCGCACATCATGCTCGTCGTTGCAGGAGTGGTCAAACTCCCCGTCGTCGTGTCGCCCAGCGCCTAGGGCCATCTCTGCCGTCTCCGGTTCCTCGACGGCTGCCACAATCAACAGATAAAAGCAGGGTTAGGTTGGGGATTAGGGTTTGGGTTAGGGGTTAGGGTTTACCCTTACCTCTGGCCGGAGCCCGTGGCGACGGCGATGAGAGACGGACCGATTACACCCCGGTACCTCAAGCGGAGACCGGAGCCGGAGGTGGCGGCGGCCAGCGATGTGAGCAGCGGATAGATGGCGGAGATCTGGCGAGGATGCCGAGAACGAGGCTCAATCGGCGTTCGAGGATGAAGAATAAGGAACAGATGGAGATTGAGGCGGGAACCACCGGATCGAGGGAGAAGATGGAGATTGAAGGCGGAGAGGAGAAGAGGGAACCACCGCCACCGGAATCGACCCCTTACCGCGGAAGACTCCATGGGTGGCGTCGAGGAGCCCAGATTCTGAAAAGTGCGGCGAAGAGTGGTGAGCAAAAGCGAGGAGCTAGGGGTTACGAAGTCTTGGCGAGAGGCAGGCGACTCCACAGTGAGCGGGAGAGAGCGGAGGAGGAGAGGCGAGAGGCTAGGGTTACGAGTGAGGGGAGTGGGGAGAGCGGCCGCATCGAGCGGCTTATATACCGGACCCCCCGGCCGCCCGGCGATCCAACGGCTCACGCCCCGCCTCCGCGATCCGACGGCTACGAGCCGTGCCTGCCCCGTGCCGCCCGTTGGAACGGGCCGTGCCTGGGCCGGCACTACGGGCCGACCTTTCGGCCCAGGCACGGGCACGGGCGAGGCCGGGCCGTACCGGGCTAGGGCCGTGCTTTTTCGCACCGAGCCCGTGCCAGCCCGTTTCGCGCGGCCGTTTGGAAATTTATACAATAATACATGCTGGTCTAAATAAGCACATTGGACGATTAATGGCACAACTGAAACAAATACAAGATGAGTGCTGAACAGGTAGCACCGGATGTCTCCAATAATCCCATTCATGCCCGTGAGAAGGTAAAATGGCAGCGACGAATAAACCAACGAACAAAGATAGCAGTAAGACAAACTAGGCAGCCGCAATCCAGGAGATGCACAATATCTGCACCAACCATATCGATCAAGACCAAATGTCTGTATGACATGCACGTTGACACCTGCCACGCACAAATATTTGAGCTGAACATCCAAGACGGTGGGCGCAGCAGCACATGCATGTACAACGTCTCGTGTGAGTGCAGTCTGCAGAGCGATTAATTAAGTGAGTAATTATTACTTTATATATAAGCGAGAGGAGGGTGAGGGTGCCAATTTATTCTCAAGACAAAGCGTAGTACCTTGGAAGTAACCGCTGAGGTTAATCCTCCCTTCTCCGTTCCTGCCATTCTTTGCATCGATGAGCTAGCTCCTCGCTGCAATCATGCACACGAAGTCTACATGAAGCTGGCATTTCCGGCAGCCCCGAGATGCTTGGACAGGAAAAGATTGTCAGGGACTTGAGGGAGACCAGGCTTCGCAGATCTGCAGGAAGTAACAGGAGGTTCGGGTAGCCCCCAAAGTGGAGCTCTCTGAGGGAGGTGAGAAGCTGGAGCGCTCTCTCCTGTTCTTCCGTTAGGTGGACCATCGGGCTCGTTCTGTTTCCCCAGAAATCTAGGTTTCGTAGAGACGTGAGCTGTTTGCAGAGGGACAAGGTAAGGACAGAGGTGTCCCCAAATATCAGAAGACTTTCCAGTCGAGACAAGACCTCACAGGCCCCTTGCTGCTGCAACAAAAGCTCCATCCATGGAGGTAAGCCTGAGGAGGCAGCTACTGTGAAGGACGTCAGGTTTGTAAGGGACTGGAAGCCCTCGATCGAAGCAAGCGACTCACAATCTCTAATTTTTAACTCTGTCAGTGTCTTACAGTATCCAGGCTGTAGAGATGTCAATTCTGGACTTTCCCGTACTGCTAGTTCAGTTATGGCAGGGAGACAGGATAGCAGACGGGACTGGACATTGTTTGTGAGATTCCGGATCACAAGTTTGGTAATTGACGGAGGAAGCAGTCCAATCTGATTTCCACCCTGTTCTTGCTCCTGTAGCTTTGGATCCCGCTCCCATGCAGCAGATAACGCAGGAGTCATCTCTATTTCCAAGCTTCCAAGAGAGCTGAGCAATTGCAAGCCCTCCAACGCACCTAGCTGTTGACAGCTCGAAATTGTCAAACTTTGAAGCGAAGTGAGGAATTGCAAGCCCTCCAACGCACCCAGCTGTTGACACCTA